ATTTGAAAAACAAGGTGTACCATTTATTTTGGCGAGGAAGATATATATATATGATTTAACTTGTCGATAAGAATTATCTTAATCAATAATTTGTAAACATAAAGAAAAAATTGCAAAGAATATATAACCAGTGAATAAAAGAAGAAAGAAAATTCCTCATGTCAAATGTTGATTGATATTGAAAATGAAAAGTTTTTTTTTTTCTTTTTATCTTAAGTAGATTAATAAGAATGTTATGGAATATTTAAAATAAGAATGATAGATTAGAAGAATAATTCAAGTAAGATTTCAATTTAAATATTATTTTATTAGAAAAGAATTAATTTATATATTAAAATAAATAATCTTAAGTTTTCTTTGAAGAAAACTTTTTTTTAAAAAATTTGTTTTTCAATAAATATCTTTCGAGAATATTTCAATAAAAAAAAAACGAAATAAAGATAATTATTTAATTTATATTTAGTGAAATAAATAAAAAGAAGGATATTTTATCTAAAAGTTAATTTCTAATATAAAGTGAGATAAATTATTTAATGATCGATATCTTACTTGTCAACATCAATTATTATTTCATTTAAATGATATTGACAATAAGAAAAGAAATTTTTTTTTCAAATTATTTTAATTTGTTTTATTGATAAGATAAATATCATCGGAAAATTTTGTTTTTTTTTCTTTATGAAAGAAAGAGATTTTCTTCTTGTTTTTCTTTCTTTTCTTATTTTGTGTCAGATAAGAGAAGAAAAAAAAAAAAAAGATGATTTTCTAAGATGATGATCATGATGATGATGATGATGATAATCAGTCGTGTTTCTGTCATAGAAATGTGACAACGCTTCTCGTTCATTTAATAAAAGAAACAAAATACTCTTTTTTCTTATTTTTTTTTTCTTCTCATTATTCTATTTAGTTGCATGTTGACACTGTTTTATGGTAAGATTCTCTTTTATATTCGTCTCAATAAACCTTCATTCAATTATTCATCAGAAATCGAAGACATTCTTGTTTAGATTTCATTTCAATTGTATGTTGTTAGATTTTTTTTATTTAGAATAAAATATATTTAAAAAGATAAATCATTATTCAAATATTCTTTTATATATATATTTCAATTAATTTATTTTTCTTATTAATTAATTTGACATAAAAATAACAAAAGAAAATGTTTGCTTTTAGGTTTTTTTTTAAATAAAAAAAAGCAAAATCTATTATGATAAAGATAAAAATAGCTCGTCCCTATTAGGAGTGAAAAGCGGAACTGCATATGTTCTCTATCCTCATTAAACTAATAGAAAAAACGTTAAGTGAGAAATCTCTAGTAGACTATTGTTGTTTTAGAGAATAATCGATGATTAGAGTAAGGATCTCTTTCATTTACCGATTTCGAACAGATATTTTACATTTTTTCTTCACTTTCTACTATTCAATAATTATTTTTCATTTTTATTATAATAATCATTGAATTAATTGTTAAATAAGTCTCTTTTACATAACCATTCGATGCATCTACACCAGATCTTTAGCACTATTATTTAGAAATAAAATTGATTAACAATTATATTAATTATTTATCAAAATTATTATTTTATCAATTTTATAGAATATATTTTCAAAACTCTTATGCCTCTTTTTTTTTATTCTCGATTGTTAAAGTCTGTAATAGTTTGAGGAAGAGGCAGAAAACTTCGAATTAAGAGTCTCACTGAGAATTTTCTTGTAAAAAAAAAGTCACCTTTTGAGAAAATATGTTTTCAATCGTTGATAACCATTGAAAAATTCGAGTTGATTCAAATGAAATAAATATCAGGTTATATATATATATATATATATATGTTTTATTTCTATTGATCTTTTATATATAAGGTCATTTGTTTAATAAAGTAAAAAAGAAAAACAAAGTGATGATTATTTGAATTGTAATATTGTTGTTGTTGTTGTTGAACTATGAATGGAAGGAAATCTAACATTTGAATCTATTTATATAAATAACATTGAATATGTTGATGTTTTTGATAATAGTTATATATGAAAAAAGAAAAAGAAAAAGAAATAGACATCCTGTGTTGTTTCCATTGTTATTAAGTATTCTTTTGATCTATTGTCTCGATTTATATTTAATAATAACTAGTATGATATTCTACCTTGTTTATTTCGAATGATTATATTTTCTTTCTTATTTAATTGGAAGACACCATTACAATCATCTTTGTTACTCTTTTCTTTTTTCTTTTTTTCTTTTTTTTTCTTTTTTTTTCTTTTGTCTCATTTTTCAGAGTTACACTATCTAAACGGAACTAATTCAACATGAAATAGAAGAAAAATAAGAGAATCAATTGTCAATTCGAGGTAACCTATATATAGAATAAATATAAATAAAATTAAAAAAAAAGTAAAATTAAGATAATAATTAATAATAAATTATCTTAAATATATAAAACTAGAGGAATATTTAAATAATAATTAAATAAAATAATAAGTAAGTTAGTTTATATTTTAATAAAATAAAAAAGTAAATGTTGATATATTTGTAGATAAATGTGATGAACATATCATCTGAAATCGAAAAAAGATTTGATAACGATGTTTATCGTTGGTATGCAGATACAATTGTTTATCGCGGTATTGGTCCATTAATAGCTTGTTTGGGTTTTGTTGGTGGAATACTTTCTTGTCTTGTTTTTCGTCGAAAACCTTTAAGAAATAAATCTTGTTCAATTTATTTTTTATTTTTGGCTTTAGCTGATCTTTTATGTATGATTTGTTGGATTGTTCATTTTGTTTTACCAACTTATAATATTCAACTTCTTACTTTATCAAATATTTTTTGCAAAATATTTGTTTTTTCTATGTATTTTGCATTTGATTTGGCTAATTATATATTAACTGCATGGTATGTCTTCTTTTTTTATCTCAATTAATCTTTCTCCCTACATCAAAAATCGATCTTACTCATCCAGGAACATTCAAATAGCATGAAATTTTCAATATATATCGAACCTGTAATCAATAATCTATGGTTAAACTTTCAGGGTGATAGAACAACGTTTGAGAAAGATATTGACTAAATAAGGCTCAAAAAAAGATGATTTATCATAGAAAATTTCTTTGACCAGAATCATTCTATCTATTCATTTTTTTTTTTTTTGTTCTTCGAGAGCATGTCAGGATGCAGGGCATGACTGAATCCTTTTTTTTTAAATAGTTACTTTTTAAGCGTAAAAAACGGATCAAAAGTTTCATGACTAAAAAGAGCTCTCTAAATATCTCGGTCTAATTATGTAAGTATCTATATATATTATAAAAAACGAAGGTTTATTTTTAAAAAAAGGCTCCTGTCATGCCCTGGATCTTGACATACTTTTGAAAAGAAAAAAAAAAAATTTTCTTTATATATAGTCTGATGTTAGAGAGAGAAATTTGGGTTGCGCCTTCGACATATGATCAATTGAGAAAAAATGAAAAAGATTTTCGCTTTTTTCTAAGCATAATTTCTTTTTCGAATAGGGAATGGTGAAAATCTTGAAAAGTTTTTCGAAAAAACGCGATGTTGAGTAAAAATAAATCTCGTTTATGAAAGATTAGAATAGAAACTATTGTTCCGATGCATTTATCTCAATTTTAGTCATTCTGACAAAAACATAACTTTTTCAGGGAGGAAATCTTAAAAACAAAAAGAAATCATTTTAAATAATTAACAAAAAAACAAACTTATTTAATATGAAAAAAAAAGAAAAGTATTATATGATTGGTTAGAAAATAAATATAAAAAAGATCTATGTTAATGACATATGAAAAAAATGTCAAAATCAGATTTAAAATAAAAGAAAAAAGCATTGAGAAATAATCTCGAATATATTTAATCATAATTTTATTTATTTCATTGAATAGATATTCTACTATAGAATATTAAAATAAAATAATTATTTATTTACTTAATAATAATTTTTGTTTTTTCTCAATTAAATTGAATATATTAGAAATTCTTAATTAAATATATCTACTTCTCTTTACCTTTTTATTTTAATTATAGAATATTATTTTTATCTTCTATCATTTATTATAGTTAGGCTATTTTAAATCTCCTCTCCAACAGTATATTTATTCAATATTCAAAGATTAACGAGACTTTCTTTCTTTCTCTCTTCATTGGATAAACCATTAGTTTCGTTTTTTTTTCACATTTTATTATTATTCAAATAATATATCACAATAGAACGTTTTTTTTATAATATATTACGATAATATTAACGGAAAAAAACCTGAATAAACATATATTCAATAATTTTTCATATAAACAAGGATCGATGAAAGTCAAATTTAAATAATTCTAAAGAGTAGATAAATCCCTATGATATCCTATATTAGAAGAATTTCTGACCGATTTTTTAAATCGTTTCCAACCGATCTGTTTGAAAAAGAAACTCAATCTCCGTAGATTGTTGAGAGTCAATATTTAATGATGATATCTCCATTGAAATTTAACAATCGAAGATCTAGATTATCTTACTAAATATTATTTATTTATATATTATTATTGACACTCGAACTTCATTTTATCAACATTTAGAAAACTAATTGAAAAAAAACGTGATAAATCATTTTTAAAAATATTGAAATATACGATTTGATGTGGATCGACCTCCTCTTTATAATAGTCAATATCTAATATTTAATATCCTTGTTTATATAAAAAGTTATTGAAATATATTTGTAAGTTAGTATTATTCTCAGATATGATAAATAAAGAGTTATTTCTATATATATTAAAATAATAGAAAAAATTTAATGAAGAGAGAAATAAATAAAATCTGATTAATCTTTCCTATTATTGAATAAAGATAAATAGAATAGAAGATTTAAATAATAAAATATATTTTATTTTTATAAATAAATTTCATTTTCTTTATTTAGAAATGTGAATTTGTTTTAAATAAAAAAATCTAAAAAACTAATTCTTTTGAAATATTTCTATGAGAGGAATTTACTTTATTTAGATAATTATTTATCTTTAACAAAAATAAATCCATTTTGAAAATAAATATTTATTTAATAAAATATTTTCTTGTTTTTTTTTAAAAATCTTGTTTAATTAATAAAAATGTAATTGTTATTTAGTTCAATTGATCGTGCTGTAAGTGTATTATTTCCAGTTGGAAGTCGTAAATATTGTCGTCGTAAAATGGCATATACAATAACATTTATATTAATTATAATACATACATTATTAAATAGTCATTTTTTTTATGGTTTTCTAGTTATATCTGCAAATTCAACATTAAATACAAGTATTAGAATATGTCATCATCGTTTTGATTCTTCAAATTATGAAAAATTATTTTCAGCATATGATTCATATGTTGATGTTATTAAAACAAATGTTATACCATTTATAATAATGAGTTTTTGTAATATAATTATTATTATTCGTGTATGTCGTTCAAAATCATCAATTTATTTAAATAAAACAAAATCAAATTCAAATAGAAATAAATCAAAAAGAAAATCTGAAAAAGATCGACAATTAACATTTATGTTACTTGGATCATCAATTGCTTTTCTTGTATTAACACTTCCAACTGAAATAAATGATATTATTCGATCAAATTCAAATGATAAAATAGTTAATGAAAAAAATTATTTATTATCAGCTATTCTTCTTTCACTTGCACATCTTAATTATGCTGTAAGACTTTTTTCTTTTTCTTTTTCTTTTTCTTTTATTCTATTTAATTCTTTTTTTATTCTTTATTAAGATTCATTTTTACATCTATACATTAACAGGTGAAGTATTTCGTCAACAATTAATTAAATTATGGCCTATTTATATTATTTGGCCATATTTTATTAGACTTATTCAATCAAAACAAAATAATTCATCATCAACAAATCAAACAAATAATTATCGAAAAAGACAATTTGAAAATAATTTAAATACATTATTAGATGTATCATAGATATACATATTCATATTTATATTCATATTCATATTCATATTCATTTTCATTTTAGTTTAAATAAAAAAACATTTATTTATTTATTAGTTTTAAATAATAATTATTAATATTATATTTTAGAAGTTTTGTTTTTTTTATTTATTTCTATTTAATATTTTATTATTAGATAATTCAATTAAATAAACATTTGTTTTACTAAAAACTAATCAAAACATTCTTTCATCGAGAGGTCGACAATCTACTCTATAAAAATCAAAAATATTTACAAACGGGAAAATCTTTCGCAGAATTTTTCAAAACTATTAGATTTTTCAAAAAGTTCATTTCGATCTTGAATTATTGAAAAAGTCTTCTTCATATAGAATAGCTTTGAAATTATTTTTCCAAAGTTGCTTTCCCTCATACAACTAGATTCTACACCACTTCTTTCACCTTTAACTTTTTCTAAACATGAGAGAAGCAAAATCATATTATTAAATAATTCTCCATTTTATTTAAACGAGAGAGAACTTTTATAAATAAATTTCTTTTTTATTATCAAAAACAATCAAATTAACTATTTATATTAATTATATTATTATTCTATTTAATTCATTTCGATAGAAATTATCTTTATTAAATATTATTCAATTATTTTCAAATATTTTTTACAGAATATTTTATTCAAATAGTTTTCGGTTTTTTTAAAATTATTCAAAATAATAATATATAG